AACATTTTGTTGAAAAAGATCATGAAATAAAAGTAAAAAGTAATCAAACTTACCAGCGTGTAGCAAAATGCGGTTTAGGTTTAAAAGTATACAAAAGTATTTATATATATATATATATATAAAGCCTATTTTTTTCAATATAGCAAACGAATTGAAAATATAAATGTTGCAATGTTGCAGTATAAGAAACAGTCTATAAAACTGTAATATTATTTGTACTGAAAAAAAAAATAAAAGTACCGTCATAAATATTAATAAAATTTCCTAGAAATAAAGAGGTATTGCACGGTTTCAAACTAGTATAAAAGTCATAGAAAGTGCTTTAGGCCAAAGACGATCCTTCTTTTACAACATTCTCTAAAGCCCCTTTCTTTACTTTTTTTTTTGGAGGGAAAGGAAGGCCCCCTCTATTTCCTCTCGCTTTTTGATTCTTACACAACCGGAAATTACGTCTGTGAGACTTTGGAGGGGCTAAGCGAGGAGGATAACTCCTGGGGCTTCTCTGAAATTGTTGGGGCGCCAAATATTTACGCCTTTGCTTTCAAACTATGGGATAGTGAACATTTTTTTTACCCCTTTTCTCTATTCAGTACGAAAGGCAAAGGATTTCTTATATTACTCTAGAGGTATAAAAAACCATTACCTATGCGCCAAGTTCTATTATAATTTTTTTTTTGCTTTTTTATTTTATTTTTTAATTTTAGGTGTTATTAAATAACGACTGCCACTTTTTCATGCTTTATAAAATTAATCTTTTATCATTCATACTGAAATAAATGATAACATATTTTATACTAAGACAGATCTTAACGTTACCCGATATAACTTTGTAATTTTCTAATCAACTCACAAAACGAATAGTTTTTGAGTCAAACCTCAGAGTTAATAATAACAATTTACCCTCGTCTCGTTTAACCCCAGTGTGTTGGTGGTTAAAGCACTGAGAAGAATCAAGGTTCGATCCCCAGTGGAGGCTTGATGCCCACCCAGATATAGATCAAAAGACACCAGCTTGACTGAGAAGTAAAGACAGTTTGTGCGAAATGCCTACCACATTGCCATCAACATTTCGTTGGTCAAGAAATCGTGGACACCATGTTGGCCACCTTAAGCACCATGGACATCTTACACACCATGCTGGCCAACAACGGGCTGTTACCGGAAAGCTTTATTTTAACCTCCCCTCTTAACCATAAGATCAGACGATTATTTTAAAATTTTGAGTTTTAAGCTTCTAATTGAACATACAAAATTGAACATACTAATTGAAAATACAAAATTGAACATACTAATTGAACATACAAAATTGAACATGCTAATTGAACATACAAAATTGAACATACAAAATTGAACATACTAATTGAACATACAAAATTGAACGTACTAAGTGATCATACATAGTTACAAAAATTTCTAAAATAATAAAGTTTTTCATATTATAACTTCTAGAATGATAACTTTATATATACCTATAAGTTTTATAATTATAAGTGAAAGGTTGATAAAAAGGTTGCTAAAATTTGGAACATATGATACAAAAAATAATATAAAATCTTAAGATGATAAAATTAATGCTATAAATACATCAATAAAATATTTCTTTAAAACTTCCAACATGGCATAAAAATGATTAAAAAAAAACAGCATGTCGAATAATGAATGATAAAATAAGTTACAGTACAGTTAAAATTTATAATAAAAAAAAATATACCATGATGAAATCAATGATAAAACTGAAAGTGTGATAAAAAGCGATTGATATAAAGTGATATAAAAAGAAATTGTAAAAAAAATCACAGCGTGATAAAAATGATAGATAAAAATTTACAGACTGATAAAAGGATTATTAAAATCTTACAGAATGACAATAGTTGATAAAAAGTCACGGGAATCTAAAAAAATATAATTCAGAAACAATTAATTACAATTACCATCTTTTCCATGTAGTATAAATTGATTTAATGTCGTTGATTTTTATCTATAAAAAAGCAAGACAAATACAATGACATGAGAAGTGAAAAAAACATACTTTAATTTTATAATTACATGTAAAAGCAAGATAAAGTGTTTGATGAATTTCAGAGTTTGTGATAAAAAAGTATTGTAAAAAATTAGAGTGTACTTAAATGAATGATATAAACTCTACAGAAATCTTAAAGGGATTGATAAAAAAAAAACTCTCTGCCTAATAAAAAGAAAGTTATAAAAAATCTCAACGTGATAAAAGTTATTGATAAAATGCCACAGTTGGATAAGGATACGAATTCAGAGTGTGATATAAAAGGATTGATAAAAACTTACAGTATGATAATCAAAAATAGATAAATAGTCACAATTAGATACAAAAGGATGATAAAAAATGATTGATACAAACTCACAATATAATAAAATAGGATCGATAAAAAGTCATTACATGTTATAAAAAAATTAATGAGTTTATAGTACAATAAATATGATTAATTTAAAACCAACAGCGTGAAAAAATGTTTGATAATAGGTCATAACATGTTAAAAATGTTTGATAATAGGTCATAACATGTTAAAAATGTTCAATAATAGGTCATAACATGTTAAAAATGTTCAATAATAGTCACAGTATGATACAAAACAAATTATTAAAATTCACATCATGATAAAGAAAGGAAATATTTTTATATTTTTATCCCATCATGATAAAAATATAATAAAGTGATTGAGAAAAAGAAATGATAAAAAAAAACTCTTTTAGGTCATAGAATTCTAAAAAGAATTGATGTAGAAAAAAGTTCATTAAAACTTCATTAATCGATTTAATGTCATTCATTGAATTTTATCGATATAAAAAGAAACCGAAAATAAAATCTAATATTTACCGAAATCTCGTTCGACTATTTAGCCCCTAATACGACCCATCATAACTAAATCTCTTCCTTCGAAATGATCCCTTATATCCACCCTCATTTCAGATAACTGTCAACCGTAACTGTCAGATGGTACTAAATGAAGTGTAAGAGAAAAGTTAAGGAAAGCACACAATGGACCTTTCGATTGTTTTAAGGCACGAAAGGGATTCCTTTTGTTTACCTTAGACGAATCTTCCATATCTCTCTTAAACTGTAACCGTTGATTAAGATACCCATTGATGCGTCCAAACATAATCTATTTTGGAGTTTAAAGGTTAAATTGATACTAAAAACCGTTAAAGTTTTGATTATGAATAGTCGCTGACTCGGAATTACTTTGGTCGTTCAGTCGCGACGCGATAATGATGCCGCAACGCGCGATTAAAGAAGGAAATATGTATCTTAATAGCCTTTGTTATCAACTGTGGTTTCTGTTGGGGGTAATTGTTAATCGATAGAGAATTATTAAAAGTTTTTAAACAAAAATGGCAATGAGCTTAAGAATGTTAAAGTAAGGTTACAGATACGTAGATTAAAAACTATTTTTTAAACAAGGATTGGCAACGATTTTTTGACCGCATAAAGATCGTCTGAAATTGTAGGCATAAAATCAAGTTGAGTTGATAATTCAATAAGAGGAACGATTTTTTGACCGCATAAAGATCGTCTGAAATTGTAGGCATAAAATCAAGTTGAGTTGATAATTCAATGAGAGGAAGTGATTTCATCGTTTGCTGTTTTAATTTTTTTCTTTACAAAGGCTAATGTTAACATGGAATTTGCTGGGTTGTTTTAATATAGATCCTTTTAAGCAGCTCTTTTTTTAAAAAATGAAGTCAAAAGAATGTTATTAATGTCCGCCAATTTACATTTAAGCGAAAAAGAAACAAAAATGCTTTCCAAATTATCGAATGACTGCAGAGATCGGTTAGAGGAAAAACTTAAAAACCTGTTTCTTTACCTGATGAAACTTTGAGATGTATTTAGCAGTCGCTTTTTCACTCTATTTTGTCTCTTTCGGCAGGTTTTGATTTCTTCAGCTCTTAACTCAATTTAACGTTTTTAGCGATTCATTAAATTACGATTCCGGCAGGTTTTATTGTTTTCAGTTCTTTCCCCAATTTAATGTTTTCGGTGATTCGTTAAATTACGATTCCGGTAGGTTTTGATGTTTTCAGTTCTTTCCTCAATTTAATGTTTTCTGTGATTCGTTAAATTACGATTCCGGCAGGTTTTTTGATGTTTTCAGTTCTTTCCTCAATTTAATGTTTTCGGTAATTCGTTAAATTACGATTCCGGCAGGTTTTGATGTTTTTAGTTCTTTCCTCAATTTAATGCTTTGGGTGATTCGTTAAATTACGATTCCGAAAGGTTTTGATGTTTTCAGTTCTCTCCTCAATTTAATGCTTTGGGTGATTCGTTAAATTACGATTCCGGTGGTTTTGATGTTTTCAGTTCTTTCTTCAATTTAATATTTTCGGTGATTCGTTAAATTACGATTCCGGTAGGTTTTGATGTTTTCAGTTCTTTCCTCAATTTAATGTTTTCGGTGATTCGTTAAATTATGATTCCGGCAGGTTTTTTGATGTTTTCAGTTCTTTCTTCAATTTAATGTTTTCGGTAATTCGTTAAATTACGATTCCGGCAGGTTTTGATGTTTTTAGTTCTTTCCTCAATTTA